AGGTTGTGCGAGTCTGCATACTCGAGATTCGCTCGCCATCGGTGTTACGTGACTCATATCCAAAACCACCGTGACAGCTGTAACCGTCTTTCGTAGCGCCAACGTGCCCATTGAGGTCACCTGCGACCATTATAGCTTCTTGTGACGGAGCCTCAGCTGTCTTCTCATCAAGCAGATTCCAAAGCTTGTCTTTGGCTTGTTCGGAGCATCCGGTCTGCGGAGCGTACGCTGAGAAGAAGTGGTATTTTCGTTGTTCAATGACGACAATGCGTATTGATTGAAGTCTACATGAAGAGTGCTTTACATGCAAAATTTTCCCTGAAAAGCCTTCTTCTGCCGGATTTCTGAGGAGATCCCTAGAAGTCAATTAGGCAAGTTCTAACTTTCTTCCACTTGGATTTGTTCTATAGACATCAAGATTCTTTTGAGGAAGTTGGTCTGCTTACGGCCGCTGGCAGATAAAGCATTTCGAAGTGAAAACTCTTGCTCAACGTACGCCGTGCAACTCTTTTTGGTAAGCAGCCGCACCAGCACGTGAAAGTCCTTTACTTCCCTGAAAACGGTGATAGCATCGCGATTGTGTTGGGTTGATGCATAGTTATTGCAGGTTGTTTTCGCGCATGACTTTTTTCGAAAAATTGACGTTTTATTTATTATCTTTTCACGGAAATATTTTTCTTTTTTTCATTAACAGAACTACTTATCGGGAATAATTTTATCGTTTTCGCTTAATAAAATATGTTGAAAAAATCCGCAATAGTTATGCATCAACCCCATAGTTACATTGTACTGTTACATAGAATCCTATTTTTCAATGCATTTCGTCGCGGGTCCCTGCGTATATGACCTTCTCCTCTTTCATTCGGCCAAATACGACCCCCGCTTCTTTGCACAACGGCCCTTTGTGCAACGGGCGGTTCACCCTGATCACAGACCCGGCTACCACAAACTCAAAAAGTTCTTTTTTGAGTTTCTCCATATCAGGGAAGTGGAAGCAAGTATTTATTGAGGAATGAGACTGAGCTTGTTGTGTATGTTTAAATATCGTTCGTCTCTGTACTTCATAAGGGTTCCCAACGATCAGAATAAACGAGTGGACGGCGGTGTGACCAGGGTCAACCGTCCATTATGCAAACATCAACCAGGGGGGTCGTGTTCGGGCATTGGAAGGGGGTGGAATGGAAGCTCAGCACGAGTCACAGGATTTGGTATAAAGTCACAAAACGGCAAAGGACTGTAGACTTCCAAATGCGACTACTAACCACAGACTATTCATTGGCGCATCCAAGAGCAGGAGCTGATAATGAACCATTTCATATTCTAGTGAGCACGAACGAACAGTTTCTTTCGAAGGAACCCTGATGCTTTCAAATCAAATCAAGGTGGAGGGCGTTCAACGATTTTGGGAAATTGACCTCTGAAGTCCTGATAGATACACTTTCAGGAAAAAAATGTTTCAAAACTTCTTAAAAGAAATCAGTGTTTGGTATCTGATCAATTGCGTAGATTTCAACAGTCGTTACAGCTTCTGATCATACCGTATTTTTAGGAATAATATAGGTGTTCGAATGTTGAAAACTCTCGTAGGATAATGGTCCAAAAAAGAATAGGAAAAAAGGAACGAGACTTTTTTAAAATGAGCAACCTTTCAAAAAGGTTCAAATATTTCTTGAAAGCTCTGATTATCTAGTTTCTAATTGAACTCAAAGATCTGCAAATTTTGACTATGAAGGAAGTATTGAACGCTTGTCGAAAACTCGCATGTACACAAAAAATAGAACGACACTCGATTTTTTGAGGAGTTGCACATTTGACATCTGTTTAAACAATTTTTAGAAAGAAAATGAAACGAATTTCCTAAAATCAAAAAGGCACAAATAGCTAATATGTACTGACCCTCTGCAAGAGGGAGCGGTCGTAGAAATGTCAAAATCTGCACAATGGACGGTTGACCCTGTCACTAACGACTGCGCTTAATCGCAAAATTGCAATCTGGGAAGTAATAAAATATTTCAGACACTCAAAGGATTGAACTACCTTCACACACTTGATCCTCCCGTCGTTCACAGGGATATCAAAGGTTTTTACTTGCTTCTTCATTATTTTTTGCTCTACAGGATGTCAAAAATATTACAACACGGTTTCTACCGAGCAACTCACTTTAGATGGGTATAACTTCAAATGATTACACACAATGTTTATTCCAATATTTACATGTTACATGTTGCATGTTAATGGCATTCCTTCGGAAGGTCCTCCTTTAGCCCTGATTACAGCTCCCACAAAGGAAGGATACCAGGTCGAAGTGACCATCCGAAATGAAACCTATATGTACATACAGATAAGTTGTCGAACGCTGATCTCAAATCCGCCTTCCAAATTTGCGGAACAATTCTCTGAATAGAGTTACAGAGGTTGTTTCTAAGGAAAGCCTGCTGCAGGGAACATTGGCAGACCTCGACTGCAGGCAGCGGCCTGGTCCAGCGGTAGTGTTCGAGGCTTACATTACCATGGATGGGATTTCCTTTGGGAGGAAATTTCTGCTCTTTGTAGCAATGTTTGTTTTGAGTATAAAAAACTGTTTAGAGTTAAAATTTGCAGTTCATATAACATGCCATGTTTAGAGGGGTTCGATTAAAACATAAGCCATTTTCATCGAAATGTCCCCGACCAGTTTTTTACAAGTGTCGGAACAAGTTTTACAGGTATTTCTTTCACGGAAGGCGGCTCATCTCCGATAATGGACTTAACAATGAGTATATGTTTGCTCCTGAGTATATTTTTTAGGCCTTCCAGACGTTGATTCTGATTTTGACTTAGTTTCAAAAAGGTGGCCGACAATTAGACTTCCGTCTTGTCTCTAGCAACTATCCTAGTGCTGTTCTACCATACGACGACATCGAGGGTGTACCCTCGCCTTCAAATGACCAGAAATTGTGCAGTTGCAGATGTTGACGTGGCATTAACGTGGCATCGATTCAAGTACATCTTTGAGCACACGTGATGTCAACTTTTCGTCGAAAACTTGGCCACGTGTGCCAGTGCCACGTCAATTTCTGCAATTGCACAATTTCTGGTCATTTGAAGGCGAGGGTAGCTAAAAGATGCCACGTTAAATTTCAGATAACGCAAGAAAACAGGGCAAACACGTGATTTTTTTCCGCATGTAAAACCTGCTAAATCCAAATCATGACCAGACTCTGGCAATGGGTTGATGGACACATGACTGCCCACATTCTCAAAGTGAGGTCAAAATTTTGGATCTGTTGTTGAAAGGATACTTGACGCGCTGAACACGAATATCAGCTGTGTTCGGCACAATATTGTCTGACGCGTGCGCTACGAGTACCAGGGACGGTCCTTTGCAGATGTCGCGCTCGCCGTTCGATGCTCCTCGCTTCCAGTTGTAACATTGGCAATCGCTGATGACTTAGTATGGAAAGAGCAAAAGTAAGATTTGCCAGGAAGTCTCTTTCCCGTCGGCCCGGGCTGCTGTCACTGCACTATCTCACTTAACTACGCTAAGAGAATCGTTCCATAAATTTGCGGGGCTGACTCGAAATCAGCCTACAAAAAGGCATCTAGTGGTGTATGTCCCGTTTCAAATGACCACTTCGGCCTGGTATCCTCCCCTTGCCACATGGATTGGATGTGCCTCCAACGCTGCCCGCATGGCTTCCTTTTTCTTTTCCTTCTTTTTCTCTTTCCAAGCATGATAGAAGGTTTCAGCCTCTCTAAAATGGTGTGTTGTTGAGTGGGCTTTTCTCTCCGAGAAATGGCCAGTGCACCACAGCGCCGAATGCTTCTTAATCTTCCCCCAGATAGTTACCGGCATCGAGTTTTGTTCCTTCTGCGACTTACACAAGTGGGTAGGTACCCTCACGTGTTCCATCCCCGAATGTAGCAGACAGGCAAAGATGCGCTGATGTCGCGAGCTTTTGCGCTTGGGAGTGACGATAAAGGCGCCATAAGCTCGCTTGACCCGTACCCCACACCTTCGTCCGCAACCCACGTCTTTTGCTGTCGGCTACCGTGACGCTGCGAGAAAAGTGCGGGCGCAGTTGTGGCAGCGTTGGTGTCATTGGGACTGGAGCGAATGGAGCCAGGTTCATGAAATTTGTCTAAATTGCTCCTTCTCTATCCCAAAAAAGAATGCCCAGAAGTTGATGATTGACCATTAGGTCAAGACATAAACGGAGTTACTGCCCATGCGCCCCAAAGGTGATGTGCCTGCGACGGGCTGCCATATGTGAGAAAATCCTTGTGTTATGATAAACGCCCCTCCAAATACGCACACGCAACAGCGGAACTCCGTGCACAAAATTGAGACAAAAAACAGTACAGAGAGGTTGCAGTTTGGAGACCGATAGGATCGAAGCCACATGCATTACTACAAGCTTTTATTGAATTAGAGCATAATATCGTAGCGTTTTTATTTTCGAGCTGCAAATTAGGTGAATACAAATATCAACCAGGAAATCACATATATCATTTGAAAGTACTTCTTCCGCTGTGCAATACTTTTTTTGTCGTTTTCTTCTACATTGTAAAATTACTCAGATACGGTACATAGAAGTTGGAAAAGCAAGGTGTGCGAAAGTCTATATAAAGAAAAGAACTCTCATAATAAATGATTATCACAATCCATCGTCATCACCTTAGTCCAGGCGATCCTTACTTCAAATCAAATTCACGTCGTACGAATTGAGAATGATGAGGACCTGAAAACGGGCTCAGTGCACTTTTTAAAATTCTGAACCGAGTAATTTCTTGCGAAACGGGATCAAAGCCGTAAATAATGACGAGAAGAACATTACTGATTAGTTTTATGCTTAGCTTTGTTTTTGGGTATTGCTTTAAACGTTTTTGCCGGATGCAAGCGTTACGATATTATGCTCTAACCCAATATTTGTTCGTGCGCTGGAATTGCTTGCTATGTGCTCCTTTCCTCCAGGGTCATGTTGGTACCTTCCTCCGGCCCATCAGTTTTCTTTTCAGCGGCAAACCTTTTATTGACTATCAGTGACAGCATCAAGTTGGCAAATTTCGGTTTGGTCAGAGATTTGGTCGTAGATGGCTTTGGCATAGCGATCGCATCGGACATCACGGTTGATTTCAGAGGTGACTTAAACTACAGTTGTTATCCGTCTCTAGTATTCTAGAGGTACTAGTAGGTTGAGTCATAAGAAACTGTCGATTTCTTAATACTCGCGCCATCCTTCCCAATCGATGTTTGTGTTGTTCCCCGCAAAGGAGAATGTGGCGGAAGAAGCCATGAAGAAAGTGCATACGTTGGGAAGATGGAATTCTCACGAGTTGGACGAGTTGGCCCGAACGACAAGTGTGATCTTCTTCCTAAGTGTTTAAAAGTTGTACTTTCGATTGGCTTGACGAGAGGTCACTGGGGTTGAGGAGTGCGCAGTCTACTCAAGCAACGTACGGAGGCGTCGAACACGCAGCCTCAGCAGCGACAACAAGCTCCAATAGGTGAACTTTTCATAGAGTAGGTTCCGCTCTCCGATTGCAGGATTGCATCATTACCTTCTTCAGGTACCACCACTGCTGGCGCAGACCTACTGCTTATAGCTGGACAAACTTGCTTAGGATATCGCAAAGTTGAGACAACCCACATGAAATCAGGGAAAGCCAGAATACTATACTGGTACTTGGCCTCCTGATCCCCCCTTTTTATAATCCACTGAGGTTTAACAATTAAACACCACTTGTTCTGCTTCCCTTTGGGAAAAGTTACGAAGATCTCGAACACCTCAAACCGACGTCTACTGATTCTGAATGTCGAGAATTGCTTGGTTCTGTGAGAGAGGAATACTTTCACTTGCGGGCAGATAAAGGACATGTGCAGACAATTGAGGTAAATATGGCTGTTAATCAAGATAGTTCAAAAGAAAGTTGTGAACTTTTGGAAGTTTTGTGAAATCGACAGTTACTTATGACTCAGCCTAATACTTCATCTGTTGAGGTGGATGAAAGACCGTGGCTTATCCCTTCCATTTAGAATGTCAGATGTTCAAACTCGCATGGATGTTGATGGATGATACAAAAATAATTAAATTCTAAAATTCATCTAGGCACACTACTCTACGTGGCTCCGGAGGTCCTGACAAGTGAACTTGGACCAGGTAATCGAAAAGCTTATGGGAAACCAGCAGATGTCTGGTCAGTGAGTCAGAGCGCATACAACTCTTCTTTTTCATTTCCTTTTGTTATTATTCATTTGAGATCGTTAGCGGTATCATCTATATTTTCAGTATAGTTTGCAGGGCTCTCGGGTGCACGCTTATCGAAATGCTGACCAAATATCCGCCACACTTTGAGTATTTCGGACATGTTGAGGGTATTCAGAAAGAGATTCTTGATAGAGCGTCTGGTGAGAAGAGCAATGTGAGTGCATTATTTTTTTGCGCATTCTGGCTGAAGGAGCCCAACGGTGTCACGCGTCTGCAATTTTTGCCGTGCGCAGTCACGTAGTGCCGGCATTGTTTTTGTTCCATTTGGACAGTGTGTGGCAATTTTCGGATTTCTGCAAAATCACGTCCATAAAAAACCAATGCGACCGAGAAGCCCCCAATTGACAACACCACCATGTAGGTGGCAAGTTATATAGAAAATAAGGTTTGCTCCGCCCGCTATCGCGCGCATCACAGAGTAGGGAGGCTTCACGGAATAGCAGCACGACGTCCTCCATTGACAACCTCACTATTAAAAGTTTTATACCTTCTTCTACCCCTTCTCTCCCATGACCTCCCTCTCTCCCCTCTTCCCTCCATCTCTCTCTCCCCCTCCTCTTCTGCTTTCCCCGTACCCCTCTACCGCCCGGCGGCTCCGACTGCCCCGGCAGCACTATGCACAATGATGCTGAGTGTGCTCGTTACGAGTTTTTGTAGCCATTGTGTGAGTTATCACAATCACCACATCAGATCAGAATAATACGTCAGTGTGAATATAGACCTTAACACGTTGACGACACGCCCTTGTGCGCGCACCTACCCACCTCACTTTACAAATTTGCATCAACAGTTACTACATTACCAATAATTTCATTAGTGGTAACGAGAGAACTATTTTTCGTATCCAACAGTAGGAAGGGCCAGTTTTGAAGTATGAAAATGGAGGCACAATTTAGGAAAAACGACCTTCTTCCATGTGAAAATGCGGGACGTATGTGTCCCGCGCTGTCGTCAAAGTGTTTATCTTAAACACGGTCGTTCTCTTTCAGTCTTTCTTCCACAACCTCCCCCCTCCGTATACCCTTCTCTCCGGCGCATGACAGCGCCATGTTCTCCCTTCCTTTCCCTTCTCCCCCTTCCTCCCTCTTTCTCTTTCACCTTCGCTTCCAGCTTTCCCCTTCTTGCCCCCTCCCTCTACCCTCCCCCCTTCCACCCTCCCTTCCCTTCCGGCTGATACGGCAGCACCATGTAGAATGAGACTGGGTGTGCTCGATCTGTGTTTATATAGTCGCTGTGGGTTTATCATGATCATGACATCAACATCACGAAGTGTTCGTACTCCCTGGTTTTTGTGAGCGGTCGGTCCGGGCGGACAGAACGACACACGCGCACACGCACACACACACACACCGACAAACCGACACACCAAAGTCCTGGTTTATATAATAATATAGAAAATAATGTCACTTCTTGAAGTGGCCGGTTTCTGCGTTGATGCATAGAGAAAAACCTCTTGGAAAAACATCGGTTCTCTTGTGTGGGTAGGTCGCGAGCAGGTCTAGGGCTTCCAAGATTGTTCAGCTGATTTCGATTATGCTTTATTGCAGTAGTTCGTCTACGGCACCCTCAATAGAGATCTTTCGTTCTGTGAGAGTTGAGTTGTGCGAATTGTGTTGCTGCTTCTCCACTGTTATGAATTTCACGATATTCTATTTGCATCAATTTTTGGACAATCTACGCATTGTGGGTGGGCGCTCAATCTTGCTCTAATGCCCTGAGTTTCCCATTGAATCCTATCCTATCTCATTAGGGGAGGATCCATGAAAGAAGCCTATTACGAAAGCGAAACAGCGTCTGTTAGCATCTTTGCTTTCAATTTAATTTGCTCGCATCGGTCAATAGTCACGCACTTCCATGCTTGTAAAACTTCCTATCGAAGTGTGTGTTAGCAAACTCGCAAGAAAGTGCGCTCGATAGCAATACCGAACGACGGGTTGAGTGAGCGGGATTCCAGCGCTTCTTCACACGTATCTTCGAGATATTTTTCGTGGAGTCGAAACAAAACAGCTATACCCTCACATCTAGAGCTAATAATTGTGATAAACAGCCTATTGTACTTCGTAGTGGTCAACGAAAGCTTGCAGAGTCTCTGAATTTTCTTGCAATGTAACACGCTCAAACAGCCCATTGGAGTGAAACAATGAATGTTTGCTGAGTACTTAAAGTACTCATCCATTCTGGAATTGAAACACTTTATGCGACTATATCAAATGGAAGACTAAGTTATCAAAAGATTTAGTAGAATGCCCGTCAAAACTCGTGGTGTATAAAATTAAAAACTGTTAGCGGCATCGTAATTGTAATTGACCGTGACCGTAACTCTTATCCTTCCTGCACATCCCTTGGATTTCAAATATTTCGACAAGAGAGCCCTTGCTATTTAATTCAGGTGCCAAATAAATGCTTGCCAAACTGCTCATTTTCAAAATTGAGTATTGGACGTGAGTTTCGAAGGATAACTTCACTTGTTGCAGTGGTTACCATATGGTGCGGACGTACTTGTGCCCACCTGCTCATCTTCTGTACATAAGTTGGTAGAAGTGATTTTTGAGCGAGATCCAAGTATCCGGCCGAATACCAGTGAATTGTGCGACATTGTGCAGTCCATTGTGCACTACGAGAACCGTACGTCTACCATCAGTCATGGACCATGTATGAGCGTAAGGTTATACTTCCTCACTTAATAATGAACTTCTCACAGCGATTAACGGAAAAGCCTGATCATCTTCATATCGTATAGTTCCGCGAGAGTTTTGATTAATATGCGTGACGCGCAACTTTTCCACGGGAGCACAAGGTAGAGCAAGCAAATTCTATTTATATTTCTCTATATTTCTCACGCAATGTCGCATGTGACAGTTTGTCCGACGCCTCCGCGCGCAATAGCACAAATTACGTTGAGATCGTGATAGACTAATTCATAGAACTAGAAAGTAGATGTGCTCTCACTCACTCGTTTGGGAAGTCACAATAAAAGCTACCTTGTTAAAGGAACATCAACGGTTAGGTTCAAAGGCTCATCTCTCTCAATCCGAGAATGAAGCTGCCTCGCCATAGCTGCAGAGGTGGAGCTTTCAAGAAATCCTCGTGGCAAGGACCCGGCTTTTACGACTCAGGTAAATGCACGCTAGCCGCTGAGTGGACCTATGCGGTACGCATCTGCGGTCACGCAATTCGATACTACTGGTGGCACGATGTAAGCAATAGCCGGCATCAAGCCAAAACTTCAGAGAACACTTTTGACAACGACATTTCCCTATGCTAGGGTGGAACGCTGTTGAAGAGAGGGAAACACCGCGATGTTTTCTGCGCTTTCTCTGCTCTTCCTCTGCTTTCGGTCCACGTTGCTCCTCCAAGTTCATAATCGAGCGCATTTACCCCCCCCCCCAGTTCTTTAACACGTTGACGACAGCGTGACGCGGTAACGCGTCCCACTTTGCTCACCTCGTGGGACATTGTGACGCGGTAACGCGTCCCACCAAAGTCTTCCTTTTTTCTTGCGCTTGTGCGACTTATTCCTAAGGTCTTTGTGCACATTCTATAGGTCATACATTAGCATACTTAAAAACCTCATGGCTCACAGAAAGGTCAAATATTCTGTAGTTTGGCAGACATTTTCCAGACCTTACGGATATATCTGTTCGATTCATTCCTCGTTTTCTTTTCAATAACGTAGACATGTTGATAAAAAGGAATAACAGACGTGAATACAAACCTATTCGTATGAGATATGCGTTTTTACTGAAACAACCACGTCCAAATTAACTTTGGAACCACTAGTGGAAAATTGACAAAACTTTCCCTTATCAGGGCCTTAGCACGTCATTTCGGTCAAACTTCCATTACTGTAGTTCCCGATAAGCTAGACAGATCGAACATCATTGAAAACATTTCATCGTATCAAAGTATTGCAAATTTACAACCCAAAATCGATGGATTTGGTGTGCGGCGGCTGCGCTCGCAAAATCCGTCTTGTCCTACGAGGTGCAAAAGCACAAAACGCGCGATGTCGTCAACGTGTTAACGTGGGAACCTTCAAGTTGGTGATTGGAAGGGTGGTTTGGCCAGAATCTTGCTAACGGTCATTATTTTCCAGTACATGGATCCAATGTTACTGCATTACCTCGACCATACTATGGTAGATACGAAACACAAAGTCGAAGAGGTGTACTTCTATTTACAGGGAGATGGCGCCCGTTCGGAAGCAATGAAAGTAAAAGCAGAACAAAATGTTGATGATAACGCACGCAAAAGCTCAGCTAAAGAATCCTTACCGACGTATATGCCGCTGGAAACGCTGGAAAACAGTGTGGTAAGACGGAAACGAAAAGTTAGGAGAACGACGACGAGAAGGGGAACGATGCAGAAGCTCTCAATGTCAAGCTTGTACTTCTTTTCCCGAATGCTTTACTTTGCAGGTGATTTCATACATTACGCTACAATAATAAGCTGCAGGTGATTGGTGCCTAACAGGCTTGATCAGGTCTTAGGCAGAAGATTGTCAAAGCATAGAGAGATGATCTTTAGGATTATTATATATTTATTACACGAGCTATAGTCGTGTGAACACAACAACAAAAAATTATAATCATTAACCCTGCAACTTCTGTGCAACATTAAAAAGCACGAAAAGTAGAACAAAACCATAATCAAACATGACAAATAATGGGATAATTGCATAACGGAAAATACCAGCTAAGAGAAGAACAGAGAACAAGGGCTCTCGAGATCAAGCAACCAAGTAGCTATGTAAGCATTTCTTGAAGGCAGCGTGAGACGATAGCAAAGGCGGACACTTTTTACCTAACTTATCAAACAAGGCAGCCACTTTATGGGTGAAAAAATGACGTTTACAATTCAGCCTAGCTCTACCCACATCCAATTTCAAACTACCACCCCTGGTGACGGAGGGTCTAAAAGTGAAATGTTGATTTAGATCCATGTTTACTTTACCTTGGAGAAGCTTATGGAGTAATTGCAAACCATTTGCAATTACTTGTTTTTGTTCCTTGTTTCGCTGGATGGGATCTGATCGTACATAAAACCCAAAACTCTTGTCAATAGTTCCCTCGTGAAACTGCTTTGCACTGCCTCTAACCTCTCAATTATCCAGACCTTGTAAGGAATGAGCACTGGAGTGCCATATTCCAGCACAGGTCTCACATAAGTCTTATAAGCGCGCAGTAACACTGAAGGACTGGTCGTCGACGGCTCTGAATAAGTTGTACATAACAAAAGTTGCCTTTTTCGCGATAGTTTCGCAATGAGCGTCAAAACTGAGATCATTGCCGATGAGGAAACCCAGATCAACTGTCTGCTCGATAACAGTCAACAGTGTGTCATTGATGTAATAGCTGTGACGCCAATTGCGCTCGCTTAGGTACAGAACCTTAGATTTGATATCGGAAAGAGGTAAATTCCATTTCTCCGACCGCGGCCCAACAATATCTAAGGCAGATCGAATTACTTTGGCATCGCCCTCGTTTGTGACAGCATGATAAAGCTTAAGATCGTCTGCGAAAGCACAAACTCCAACGTTACTCTGCTCGAGGACAGACATAAGGTCGTGCATGTAAATGTTAAACAAAATAGGGGAAAGAACCCCACCCTGTGGGACCCGCTGTAGGCTAACCTAGGGAAAGAAAAAGAAGAATTTATGCGAACAGAAAATTGTCGCCAGGTGAGCAAAGCACCGATCTACGCTACAAAACGCGGATGTATTCCAACCATGCTCATTTTGAGCAATAATTTTTCATGCGGAACCCTGTCGCAAGTTTTACAAAAGTCGATATAAATCACATCCACTGTCTTCCCTTCATCCAAGCACTTTGTCCAATGATTGAGCGACTGAATCATGGCAGCGACAGTCGATCTCCCTTTATGAAAACCATGCTTATTAGATGATATGACACCATATTTTTCCAGATGGTCTAGAATACGCTTTTTCAAAATTTTCTAAAAAAAGCCTTAAGAAAAGTGACGATATGCCGACAGGCCTGAAATTTTGTGGCACGTTGTGCGGAGGCTTTTTCGGGATAGGCGTTATGAAGGATTGCAACCATCCACGTGGAACTTCTGCATTCATAAAGCTCAGATTGAAAATATATTCCAGGGGAGCACTTATAAGATGGGAAACCTTTTTAATAAAGTGGAGCGGTATAAAATCAGGTGTAAGGGAATTTGATTGTGGCCATTTGAGAAGTAGCTCGATTCCTCACGATGGAACCACACCGAGTCATTCATAGTCGGGAACCTCTTTTCCAATGACAATGCACACCGTTCCTCATCAGGAAAGCAAAAGTTTTCTTGGAAAGTAGATGCCATCAGCTCGGCTTTGTCTCTTTCTTCAAACACAGAAGTACCATTAGCAGAAAGAAGAGCAGAAAATTTTGGTTCCTGTTTCAACCTCGACTTTAGGAGCTTGTAGAAAGAATGGGGGTTTACCGTTAGGCCAAGAAGCGGCACAACGTTGTAGCTCGCTACGTAGTGACTAGGATCGCTCGACTTGTGACCTTCGTTCACGATAAGAACGAAAAGAACGAAAAAGTTGCATTTTGGTAAAAAAATCAAAAAACCGAAAAGTGCCAGGCGTTCAAAGTTCCGCCGGACATCTGTCGCATATGCCGAGAGCGGGAATGCTTCCACTTGATTCTCGAAGTGCAGTCACTGAAAACTCTTTCTGGAATTTTTACTTCTTGCATTAACGTGAGCGGGGGCCCGAACACAAGGTGTAGCGGTGTTGAAGTGGACACCTTTCCCTACAAGTCCTCCTAATTCGGTTCCGAGAAGCCCTAGAGACCAAAACGTAGATAGAGGCTGGCGAAGGGAAGGAGGTCAAGCTATTGGTGGGTGGGGCGTGTCATCAAAGTGGGCAGAGTTGCCAAACTTTGTCAAACATATAAATCGGCTCAGAAACAATCCTGACCGAAAGCCGGGTGGAGGCTGGCGAGGAAGAAAAGGGTAAATGGTTATTGGTAGGCGGGGCACATATTAAAGTGGGCAAAGTTTGCACGGAACTTGATAATCGGAGATAATCCGCAGACTGTGAAAAGAGTGGACAAAGGTTAGCGAGGAAGGAAAGTGAAGTGCTTGGTGGGTGTGGCGTGACCAAAGTGAGCGTAGTTTGCTATCAAGCTTATAATTCGGTTCAAAGGACTTCAGAGATCCGCAACAAGCGGAAATGGTTGGCGAAAAAAGGGAAGTCCAAAGGCCGTTGGTGGGGGTGAGACACGTAATGTGGTGGGCAGAGCTGGAGGATAGAATCTAGCTCAAAAGGGCAAGTCAACTATTCGGGGTGTCAGGCTGAATTTGAGTATTTTTACCGCATCATTCTATATGGCCACATGCGTCGACTGACACCTTATGTGCATTAGAATTTAAAGAAAATTCTTGCCGTTTTCGACAGTTCAAATTTCAATGCATCAATTCTGATTAACTTCCTAGCAAGCTGCTACATTTCGCATATTTTTAAAAAGCGCGATTTTTGCTCTATCTGAATATCCTCTCAATTTTGCTCTGGAACAGCGTCTCCTATCATTTTAAGAATTGAATACAACATGCTCAGAATTTTCACAATTTTCTGTTTCTAATTTGAATTAAGGCAGAAAGGAGGTATAAACTCACGACATGAAGTATCCCACTGGTTTTACATTTGCGAACAATTTGCTGTGCAACCATCGCTTGGAAAGCTTGTGCATGAATGGAGAGCCTCGAAAGTAGGGTGGATTGTTGGATGACGAACGTTGAAAAAAATCATTATAAAGATTTGGTAGTATCAAACGGGCTCAGAGCTGTTGAGAGAGCCGTTATTAGTTTTGGCTAGCTTATTTGTGGTTTTTCACATGGGGTAAGTTGTAAAGTAGGATAAAACGAAAAGGGGGTGTTGCAAAAAATCGCGGATCCGAGAATCACCGTCACGCTTCAAGGGACACGAAGCCGTTTATTCCTTTCGTTCAGAGCATTCGTGAAAAAGTCTGACCATCGGACCGGCGGTCGTCCATGTGTTCGTTTGACGTTCCGAGGGATCCACAGTAACCGTTCTGGTCCAGTGGTCGTCGCAAAATCACATGACGTGCTCGGCCCACCTCATCTTCGATTCCTAGGCCAGAACGGCAGCGCCTTCTCAAGAGCGCGGTGGATAACGCTGACGGCATGCTCCTCCTGCCTGCGCAGAGTCCAAGTCTCAGAAGCGTGGGTTACGACAGGAAGGACAGCGGAATCGAAGAGGTAGGCACAGAGCCGGATGTTCTTCGTCTTCTTCACTACTTCCTCGATGTTCTTGTACGCTCCCCAAGCCGCTCGTTTCCTCCTGCTCAGCTCTGGAGCTCGTTCATCATATTGATTTCCCGACCTTGGTACACGTAGTTGGAGCATTCGGTGATGATCGTTCCTTTGAGTGTGGATGGGACATCATGAACCAATCCGTTTCTCATGAACATCGTCTTTGTTAGGTTCAGGTGCAGACCAACCTTACCACAGGAGCTGTCGAAATCAGCCAGAATCCGCTCCGCTTGCTCGATGTTCGGCCTTATAAGAACAATGTCGTCAGCAAAACGAAGGGGGTGTAGTTGCTGGCCGACGACCTTCACTCCCACGTCTTCCCATTCCAGTTGACGCATGACGTTCTCGAGAGCGGCGCTGAAGAGTTTGGGCGAGATAGTGTTGCCCTGTCGAACCCCCCTCTTGACGTCGACGATGAACTCCTTGTAGAACGGTGAGATCCTGGTTGTAAAGTAGCTGTAGAGCTCACGAAGAATCTTGAAGTACTGAGTAAGGACGCCCTGGTTGTCCAAGGCTTCGATGACCGCTTCTGTCTCCACAGAGTCGAAGGCCTTCTTCAAGTCGATGAGAGTGGAACAAAGCGGCATCTTGTACTCCCGTGAAACTTCAATGAGTCTTGTAACCGTGTGGATATGGTCGATCGTGCTGAACAATCTTCGGAACCCTTCTTGCTCGCATAGCTGTCCTTCATCTAGTATTCTGCCAATCCTGTTGAGGATGACTCGAGTGAATAGCTTGTATATTACAGACAGCAGGCAGATTGGGCTATAGTTGTCAATGTTGTTCAAGTCTCCCCTCTTGTACAGCAACACGGTCCTGCTGGTTTTCCACGGAGTGGGTACCTTGCATTCCGACAGGTAGCGCGTAAAGAGTCGAGCCAGAGTTATGATGATAATTGGCGGTGCGTTCTTCAGATGTTCCGATTTAACACTGCCGAGACCGGGTGCTCTACAATTCTTCACCGATGGCATTGGTGGCATGTCGGACTTCGGAAGAGAGAGCTGAGAGAACGACGTATCCATCCTCTTGCAGTGAAGGCATGGCAGATAGGCATGGCTATCGAAGAGATTTGGGTAGAATTCGTGAATGACTTTCTCCCTTGCCCTTCGGCATGCAGTGATTGTTCCATCCGGACGT